CTGCTGCGGCAGCAACTGAGCAGCGAGAAGGGACCTTCGCCCCAAGCAACAGGTAAATACAGATTTATTTTCTCCCCCCCTCCCTTAACGTGCTTTGCGATGCAATTTCCAGAGACCAAAACACAGCTGGGAAATGAAAGGTAATTAAGGATTGCTGACAATTATTTTTTAATGAGCTTCTAACATCAACGGCAAGGTGAAGGAGGCATTCACAGCCCTTTCACCGGGATGTCCTGGCTATGATTCAGATCCCTTTCTGTTCCTCCCTTTGCTCTGCAGTGAGGAAGGACAAAAAGCAAAGTATATATTTGAGTATATAAAAATAACTGTAATATTTTATTACAACAAGAAAAAAAAAAAACAATTTACAAAAACCACACACAATACATCAGGGACATCAGCCCACACAGGATCTACTGGAAATCCACAGAAAAAGGAATTCCAGGGGAAAGGGGCCGGCAGGCTGCAGGACGGCTGCGGAGCTTTCCAAACCCTTCCACGGCGGCTTCTTCCCTCTCTCGGGCTTCAGCTCCCCCAGGCCACCGCCCCTGGAAAACACGGAGCCCCTCTTCCGTGTGGCACAAGGATTCCGAGGCGGCTTTGACACCTTCCCTGCACCCTCGTGGGCGTGTAAAACCCCCGGCACTGATTAAACCTGAGCCCCTGCCCCCTCCAGCACTGAGGGATCGCACCAAGCAGCTCCGCACGTCCCGGGCACAAGGACATTTCAAAACACCAGAACTTGGTGTTTCCGTGTCTTTTCCACGAGTCAAACCGGGGCCTGAGGTGTGGCCGTAAGGGGGAGGCCCCTAGAGTGGAAGCCAGGTAGATGCTGTGCGTTGTATTTTACACTTCATACAGAAAGCACCAAGTGTAGAAAACCTACAATCAACAATTCAGAACTGGAGTCGGTTTTACTACACCTACCTGGGGTATCTTGTGTGGCGTTTCACGAAAAACGGAGAAGAGAAGCTGTGGCTGCCCCTGGCTCCCTGGCAGGGTTCAAGGCCAGGTTGGATGGGGCTTTGGGCAACCTGGGCTAGTGGAGGGTGTCCCTGCCCATGGCAGGGGGTGGCACTGGGTGGGCTGGGAGGTCCCTTCCCACCCAAACCAGTCTGGGGTTCCATGTTACCCTGCTCACAGCCCTTATTACCTATAAAAGTACCACGTTACATTGAATGCAGAGCGGGACACAACTGAACCCTGCACACTATACCGCAGGAAAAGCACAAAAATTTTCTTCTGCAGACAGCACGCAGTAAAGATTGCCTTTCTTGTGAACGCTCCTCTCTTTTCCCCCCCATTTTATTGTCATTAAATTACTGGATGCAATGGGGAAGCTCCAGGCCCACAGTTAACTGAAGCTTAGAAAAAGCCTTGCTTTACACCGTGTCTGCTGTCGGTAACGCTTGCCCAGCTGACAGGACAGGCTTTCAGAAAATCCCCCCACAGATCTAACCTAGCACAGAGGACATCTTCTGAAGTCACAGTTTCTTCCCCTTCCAGGCCCAAAGGAGGGGCAGGTACCATCGGCGTTTGCTGTGCTGCTCCTGTGATCCAACGGGCACGGCCTGTCTCCACACACGGAAGGACGGCTCCTACGTCAAGCTGAGCTGCTCGGCTGGAAAGCCAGAGCACTGTACTGCAGAGAACGCTCTGAGGTCATATCTCTGGTTAGCTTACATCATCAAGGGAAGGTGCAGGAGGCTTTTCAGCAAAGCAGCTCGCTCTGTTGCCCTCCCTGACCAGCAGTCGGGTGCTGGCACCAACACCCTTCTCCCTAAAGCTCTTCATCTGCTCACACAAGGTCCGAGCCCGGGAGGAATTTCTGCGAAGCGCAGGGCCAAGCAGAGGAAGGACGGTCCGATACCAAAGCGAAGGCGTGGTGCTGCTCGTTTTTGTGCCACTGCCCACCCTTAGCAGCTCTTGTTTTCTGAGATCATTTACTCGGCGTGCACTAAGCCATCGCTACACCCGCACCCCGAGAGCACAGTGTCTTTAGGGGTGCCACACCACAGCAACGCAGTTTGTGAGCTGCAGGCGTGCGCAGAGAAAAGAGAGAAGAGTACAGCATGCGTACAGGAAGGAGAGGTTTCCCCTGGAAACAACTAGTTTAGCGATTAATAAACATAAACCGCAACGTTACAGAGAAGATCTCAAGTGTATGAAAGAAAAAGGAGTCTCTTTGGTATAGTTATACGCAGCCACGTTCTACAACACAGGCAACAACCCCACCCAAACAAAAAACCCCAACGCTATTTCACCTTCAAATTTGCTTTTAGCAGACCTCGCGGTCAGAGTCGGACAGACACCCCCAGCGCCACGGGTGCCGTCGCAGGCTGCAGTCGGCATCGGCCCGGGCAGCTCTGGGTGCCCAAGGCACGGGGTTTGTGCTGCACCCGTGAATCACCTGGCCGCATAAATAAGAAAGCGGTTTGCGTGCCGGGGCCGATGTGCTTTCTCCTTCGCAGACAACCGACAGCCTAACACGAACGTGACGCCTTTCACTCAGGGAACGTAAACCGCTGCAGCTGAACTCCACAAACTCGAGCTGGGCAGACGTCAGACATTCAGCACTCAAAGGAATCTGACGGAAGGACTAGAGCGCAGGCGCTCTATTACATCACCACCATGAACCACACGTAAAGACGACATAAAAAGGGCTATTTGATGTCAGCGACTAAATGCCCGACAGACGTTGGGGACACAACCAGCACCTTCGGTCAGCGCGTTTGCATCTATACTCCTTCTGAACAAACCTGCGTGGTGACGGAAGATGGGTTTCAACTGTTTACAGAGAGAAACACAACAGTCCTTTCCTCTTCCCATTAGGTCATGTACAATTAGCTTAACGGTCAACGAGTGGATGCTTTGAAGCGAAACGTTGGCTTTGTGACTTCATCGGTGCAGCGGAGAGGATCTGCGTGGAGTCAGGCCGAGTCCAGGAGTTCCAGAAGAGCACCGACTGCACCGAAATAACCCTGAAGAGCAGACAGGAGTATCTATCAAAAATTCAGGTAAAGGCACACAACTGAGACAAGAACAAGAATATCACAGGTACGATGTAATTTTAGCAACTTAGACAAGATGGTGGGAAGAAATAACTAAAAAAGGTACACTACAAAATAGATTCTAATTGTAATCGCTGCATTGGAAAGCAGAACTGCCCAGAATCATCTATGCTGTCAATAGTCTTAAAAGTAAGTTCACAAGCAGGATGAAATTGGTAGTAAACTACTACCAAGCTACTGGATTAATATGCGTAATATTTGTGACCCTACGCTGGACGCTGCAGTGACTGCAGCTGTAGTAAAGCATTGGGAACCGGCTGCACCGTGCGTATCACCAACAGCTACAGACCCCACACGCCTGTTTCGCGAAGGATTTGGGTTTTGACGCGAGACAAAATTAGTTTAAAAAGTCATTTCACCTCATGTTCCAAGAAAAGTGCTTTTAACTGTCCCTTCGACCAGTAGTCCAACGCGTATGCCAGAAGCCTCATCGAGATGGTATTGATCCGAAGGAAGTTGCCAACGAACACTACTCGATTAATGTTCTGCAAGTATTAAGGAAAAAAAAAAAAGTAACATTAAGGCTAAATTTCTGCTTGCAACAATGAAAACCCCAGCAAGAAAAAAGCGACGCTTTATAGTGCCTTTTAAAAATGCCGTATGCAGCTTTTCAACTATATTTTCTGGTGAGATTTGATGAAAAAAAACCCAACCAGCTGAAAGCGGAGGGAAATCACCAGTCGACACCAAAGCAACGAGACCCAGAGAAACTGCATCGCCCCCAACAGCTGCTCCTGGGAGCAAAGGAGTGTAACTGCCTCGGTGAGCAGGGATGGGAGCTGCAGAGAGAAGAGCTTGAATGTGTTCGCAGCTTTCTGAATTTAGAATTTTAAAACTGGACCCAAAAGAGCCGATCTACAAACAAGAAATGACACCGAGTCGCCTTGGGGTCTGGCAGCAGCAAGAGACGGGTCGAAAGAGCACAGCGAGATCAGAAAGTGCACTGAGAAGGCGGGAACTGTGCAGGGAACGGCCAGAGACAATGCCGAAAGACCAAAAAAAAAAAAATAGAATAAAAGAACTAAGTGACTGCTGAAAGTGTCAAGCAGGGTCTGCAGAACATTGTAAACATCCACAATTCTGCCAGAAAGCAGTACCAGCCAGGTCAGGTTAGGACAGGCTCCTCCACACTACCCAGAGGTGTAGCTACAGCCTTTCCAGCATAGCAATTTGGACAGAATGATCGATTTTTTGCTACGAGATCTTTATGCTGGCTAGAACACTGATCCTCAAGTGCCATCTCCTCTGTCTCCCCCCCAGCTCCAGCCTCTGACTCAGCATTAAAAAAGCTGAATGGCTCCCTGCTAGATCATCTGGAAAAAAGAAAAAAAAAAAAACCAAAACCAAAAAGATTTACAAACCGAGAACCAACACAATTCTGAAAGAAGGGAAAAGACCAACCAAGTAGTGATATTTTGGATTTAAATCAGCCTTCCAGCCAAACTTTTCAATCCCAAAGTAGTTCTCCTCAGCCAAGTGATGAACTCTGAAACTTTCTTGTCCTCCAACAAGAAAATAATTTCCAGTTCCTCCTCTTACCGAGGAATCGGGATGAAGTCCTACCTGCTCCTTCCCTCACATCCTACGGATTTTCCTTCCGTCTTCACACTCGCTAACACTTTCCCCTAACGATCCAACACGCCCTTTGCATTCAGCCGTGTACTCTAGAGCGAGGACTCAGCAGATGCGATGCGGCCAAGGCTGTTTCTAATTCGCCTTGCCTAGTTTCAGCGGTAAACGAAGGTGAACAGGAATTATCTGCCAAGAGCAACAGGAGTCAGGAGGATGTTTCATCCCCGTTAGCTCATCCCACAGGATCAGGCTCAGAACGGAGCGGAGAGCACGTCTCTGTTCTCTCATAGCCCTGTACAATGCTGCTTGACATGAATGCAACAAGGCAGCACTGTAAAGAAGCTGAAAGCACAAAGATACAGGAACGGCCGTGGAAGCGGTGGGGCCTGGCCAAGAAAACGAGAGCAGCTCGTGAAAACAACACAGGAAAGGCATCCAGCTCTGCGCCCCCCTTCCCTTCTCTCCCAGGGTTCCCGAGAGCTGTGGTTTATTGCACACGGACCCTTCCTCGAACCAGGGAGAAGCTGTTTTACTCCAGACCAAGCAGAGGGCCTACCGAGGCCAACAGCCCACCCCTAATTCATTGAGAGCTCTTCAGTTCACAGCACAACCATCCGGCTCAAACTACACAGACGAGGAGGGATAAAATTTACCGAAGAATCCCGAACGAGCAGATTACGAGTTACTGAACGTCCAAAAAGAAGAGTATGAACACGCATCGACACGAGCCTATGCAGGGAGAGAGACGCTGCGTGACAGCAGCACACAGGTGACGCTTCGGACAGGAAGCAACGAAACCGATTTCCCCTTAATACCTCATTAAGCGCGCACATCCGTGCTATGGAGCCAATGTTGTTAGTGATGGTTGTTAAAGTCGCCTTCGCGAGGTCCTCTTTGCTGACAGATTCCCGCTTCTCCTTGCTCATCATGTTTCCAAAGCTGTAAAGACAGGTTTCGGGTTAAAGGTCCGTTTGCATTCCAGGAGAAAATGGGAACTTCTAATTTAACCAAAGTGATTCATCCTGAAGTATTTATTTCTGACTTTAAAAAGCACTGCTATCAGTAATTTAGATCTGCTAAAATATAACAGCAGAAGGCACAGTTGCTCTTCTAAGACACATAAATCCAATTTTTCATCCTTGCAGCATCTCCAGTGAAAATAAAAAATCAGTCATTACCTGGATGCTACAGCCCAGCCTGGCAATCCGAATCGCTCGTAGTCTCCTCCGTAAATGTCCCGCACTAGTTTGTCCACTTTGGTACTGTCTCCGTGGGACGCCATCTCCAGGGCCTCTTCAAAGGTGGAGCAACCGGTAAGAAGGCAGCAGAGCCCAAAAAAGGTTCCCCCGCCAAGGCTGCAACGTAAAGCAAAATCAAGTCACCCGCCTCGCTTCTGAAGAGACAGAGACAGACAGTGGCTCGTTCCGCTGCACGCTTGGATTACTCAGCTACGCATCTGAGTTAGCTCCGGTTGCCCCATTCCTTCAGCGGCTTCTCTTTTCAGCGAGAGCAATCTTGGAAGAACAGTTTATCTGTTATTTTCAAGTAACTTACAGCCCAAGGATTCCCAGTCCCTCGCAGCCTTCCGCAGAGGGCACGTTTCTAAACAAGAAATTAATGTTCTTATTTTTATAATCTCTGCCTTCTTCCCAGCACTTAGAGAAGTCAATCGTAAAATAAATATTAGAGGGGTAAATGGAGTATTAGGGCGCAGCTATTCAAAACTTAGGGGAAAAAACTAGGTCCTGTTCACTTTACTGTGCACTCATGCCAATAATCTGTACTGTGGGTGTTGGGTTTGGGTTTTTTTTTTATTATTATTATTATTGCTAACTTTCAGGAAATTCAGGAAAGCTTAAGGCCACAGAGCAGTTTGGCTTTGCTGGGCAACCAGAACCACATCTTCGAGAGGGGTAGCTGCAGCGGTCCAGCAGCTGTCTGGGGAATTTCTGCTGCGCCAGCATCCCTTCCGCCAAAATAAGGTAACTTTCACAAGTCAAGATGCAAATCTCTACCGCAAAGCCAACAGTTGGGAATGAAATCATTATATCTGCATTAATCTCAAAGTCTGGGATCTTTCTGATGGCAAATAAAACACTTGATTCCTGCAGCAGGGCAACTGAAAAAAAAAAAAAAACAAAACCAAACCCAAAACCAAACCAGCTTCTAAAGAGACTGGCTGCAGTAAAGAGACCAAACCATGAAATTCAGATTCCCTCTTCCAGGAGGGATCTTTGTTGGCAGAGATAAGGGACTGCAGTAAAAGCAGGAGCTCGGTCATTCAACTCGCCACCTTTATTGCGGGTTGTCCCTGACAATGTCATGGACACCGCAGAAATGCATTCCAGGCTCTAAAATAATTCAAATTACCCCCTCCCAGCACTCACCTGGTGCCTGTTACCCGTTTATAGTTCTCTTTTGAATACACAGCCAAAATGCTGACCCCTGAGCCAATGTTCACCAAAAGGAGAGGATATGGATTCTCCAAGTTGAATGGGAGCTTCTGACATCTCTCAGCATCCGTCGGGTTTTCAAAATAGTAACATTCTGAATGTCCATTGAATCCAACTGAATCGATGTACAAAACTCCTTTAATAAGGCAATCGAGTTCATCTAGCTTACAAAGCTGGAGGTCACCCATCTGGCGGGGGGGGAAAGAAAGAAAAAAAAAAAAAGAAGAATATTCAAGAAGTAGCTCAGGATCTCAAGTGTTTATGCTCAAGGCTAGAAAATCGCATTCACTGCCAGCTAAATTCAGCTATCTCCATTACCGCCTGCGGTGGCTGAGAGAAGCACAGATCGCAGGAGGGCTCCGTCTTTCTCCACGCACGTGGACTGCCAGCCACCCCGGCCCTAAAGCGTGCAGGTGTGGAACAGGGGGGAACCAACAACTGGATCCACAGATGGATAGCAAGAGCATCTCATCAACTTCCAAGGGCCTGATTTAGGCCCTGAGTCTGAGGCATCAGCACGAAAAACAAAGAAAAATGAGAAGGGACTGCACCGCTGGGCCAAAAAACCCCAACCAAAAAACCACGCAGACAAGAGAGGAAGTTATGAAATTGTTTTCCCCTCATGTCATTGCCTCGACTGCACAAAACCCCTCTTTACTTGGTGCCTTTTTTCAAGCCCTGGTTAAATGAGATATTTATCACACATGTTTTTCACCTATGAACAAGAATCAAACTTGTAACGAAGCCACATGATGATGTCAAGCTCCAGTTACTAACCTCCTTTCAGTTAACTCACCACTAAATTTGAACCTCAATCAGGTCACTCCATTAGAAACAGAACCACATGAGCACAGGGACAATAAAACAAATATTAAGCACGTGAAAGACAGCAATGAGAAAAAAAACCCCTACAAGACTGAGATCAGCATAATCAGAAATTAATAATAACAGAGAAAGTCTCGTAAGGAGCACACGCCATGGAAGTCAGCGAGTAATTTTAGCGTTACAGGAACGTTATACGCGCTTTCAGGAAAGAAAGTATCCTAATTTGGAGATGCAAACTTGACTCCACATGCTCTTTCCTGAATCAAGTTTAATTACAGTTAGGTACACTCTTCCAAAGCTAAGATTTAAAGAAGTTTTAGAGTCTGCAGAGAAAATTTTCTAGTTTTAAGCTTTAAAAAAAAATTGTCACTACCAGATCCTAATCGTATAGAAGCCAAAAATGCATACTGTGCGAAAGTCCTGCTCAAATTTGTACGCTCCACCTCCCGTGGCACATAAGGTAGTATGGAGGCTCGAGAAGTGTTTTTCGCTTCCCATTTGAATAAAAGCAGGCATGTCATGAGTAGGAAAGCGTATAAAGTGCAGATTGCCTTTACGTCCACACAGGGTAAGGTCCTTTAGTTCAAGGTGCACATCCCGAATGCCTGTAGATCCATAGGCTACATTTGATGTCAGGTATTTGCGGATGCTTTTGAGATTTTCCACTTCCTCCTCTTCCTCTTCAGCGGTGATGTCCTTTGGTTCAAAATAAACAAGTTTGACCAAGGTCCCTCCGATATCCAAGCCAAACCAAGGGAAGACTAAAGAGAGGAGAGAAAAAAAAAAAAAAGAAGATAAAGAAACGTACAAATACTTATAAAATGAAGTAATTCACGCGATGCTCTAGGGACTCCAAAATGCAGGCCTGGTTTATTTCTTCATTTCTAACACGGAAAAAAACATTAGCAGTCCGGTCTGCCTTTGACAAGTGTGGCTGAGACTCCTCTGGACACAGAATTAACTCCTGTTTCGAGATCCCTCGTGTTCAGGAGCGCCCAACGTTTGATACGCAATACTCGGAATACTTACATCACCACCACGCAGCACCGCGGATACTCACAGCGCAGCTCTGACGGCATCTGTACACCCGCCAGACGCTGCTGCAATTTTCATCCCCAGCTATTTTTTTTTATAAAGTTCTGAGCCAGAGCCAAGGATAATACCAGTGCTTTGACATCAAAGGGATGTACAAACGTTAACTAATTACAACACAAAACTGAGGTAGACAAGTAATCTAAGATGCCCCAGGGAGACAAAACCAAATGTCTAATTGGATTATTTTATTAGTCAAATTCCCCCATGGTACAAAATATGCATTAGTGTCAGCCCAGCAACATTTACAGCTGTATTAGATAATGAGCTTCTTGGAAAAGATCAAGAGAAAACCCTGATCAGATGGAATCTGCGATTAGAGCTGAGAACTGGAACAGATTAATATTATTATTAATGAGCTAAAGGATAGGCTAGAGCTAACGAGATACACAGGCTCCAGAGCAAAGAGAAAAATGTAGCCACATGTTACAGCTGATGGTAACAGGATTAAACCCTTATGGTTTTTTCCAGAAGGAAAAAAGGAACGTTTAGAAAATAAACCGGAATGCAGCATAGGTGTTACTAACGTTCCTCTGGAAAGAAGGAGCTCAGGTTTTAGAAAAAATTCTTACATGTCAGAGACAGGCGTGATAACGTGCTACTGTTATTTCTGCAAAATACGTTTGCTTATCTGCAGACAGACAGATAAGCGCGCGACACGAAGCAGTCCCTACCGCCGTCTGAAAGCAGATATCCCTCCAGTTAAACTCGAGGAAGCGGCAGCCATCCCCAGAACGCAGAGCTGCCCAAGCGAGAGCACGTTCCTCGTCCCCCCATCCCAGCAGTGCAGGAGACTCGAGCTGCAGGAGCACTGAGCAGTCGGAGAGCAATACCCAAATACCCAGAGGCAGCACTTAGGAAAGCTGAACAGCAAAGAAAACAACTCCAGGGCAGGAGGGAAACTCACTCCCAAAGAAAAGGATCTTTGAAAAGCCACAAGACAGGCAAGCACATGTTTGAAGATGATGCTCGCTCTCCTCGGCGGGTTAACCTAGTTGCTGTACAGAGCGGAGGTAAAACAGGCCCTTTTAGAGCATCACAGTCCCCCAGGAGCTGCTACAGCAATCAGCTACCCACGTTATTTATAAATTGCTGAGTTATTTTTATATATTTACATCGAGGCCACCCCCAACTATCACCAAAAGAAATCTTGAAAGAAAGCCCAAGCTCTATTTTAGAAGGCACATCCAATCTCAATCATCCTCTATTTCTAATGCATTTACTTCAAACAAAAACAGACATAAAAATAACTGTTCATGAACAAGAGAGAGAGAGAAGTTTGAATCACAGTCCAATGGAGAGAGAAAGCAGGAGCAATTCAAGGACTTTTTTTATGACAATTTCTCATTTGGTACTCCAGAAAGCAGAATTGCAAACACTATTAGCATTTCAGGATGGAAAGTCTACCAAGTGCTTTACTTGGAGAAAAGTTTAGCATGTATGTCTGTCTTCAAGACTCCCTCCTGGAAACCTTACTACAGCTAAATTAAACAGTTAAGTTACTTCTCAAGGGAGGAAGGCTGGCTGCCTGGGCCTCATCATGTAACGTCAGGAGAACCATATTCCCGGGAACGCCAGACCAGGAGGAGCCCAAGACCCCAGAGTTAAGTGCAGGGAAAGGCAGGAAGGCCAAACTCCAGGATTTCTGTACCCCCAAAAGAAAGGGCCTGGTTGTGGAGGAGTGTGGCAACAGCAGCTCAGCTGGCAAACGGAAGCGACAGAGACCACGATCACTCCAACAGGGAGATGGATACCCTACTGCTGCGTGGAGGGCATCAGGGCAGCAAACTCACCCGCTCATCCCGACACCTCAAACCTAAAAACCTGTGCAGAGGCCTCCTCATGCCATATTAAAGCTACCTCCAACGTGGCATATACATCCCAAGTCAGCAGTCCCCGTATCAACAGCAGAATAGGACACCCCTCCGCAAAGTGTTTTGTCTTTCTTTGAAAGTCCTAGATCTATCAACTACCGCAGAAAGACGCTTTGAACAAGGCTCGTGCCCTGCTATTGAGAGAAGAAACAATAAAAATGCCATCAGAGTCACAGAGGTAAAAACAGGGCATCGGCAGCCAAACCAGAGCTGCTGCTGCGGCTCCAGTCCCTCCAGTGACTGGAACTGGTCAACACCACTCTATTTAAATACCCAGTTCACGTACAGAATCACTAAAACCCGTCTCCCCACACGCACTGTGCTTTTCAATACTGCTTAAACTCTGTTGGAAAAGTAGTAAGCTCTACGCAAGGTGAGCAGGAAGAGGTTTCCCCACGTTACTCAGCCAAGTCTTCTCCTGTCTGTCGTGGTTGCTGACATCCTGGACTCCCTCCTCACAAATTTCCCACTCTTAAAAGCACTTGGCTGCCTTGTCACCTCTGCTCTGATGAAGGGATCGGTTCCAGAAAGCTCCAGTCCTGGTGCTGGGAAACTTCCTTTTGATTTCTGGAATATATTTGTTCCTGTCAGGACATGCAATCTTTCTTCTGCATTATGAAGCCTGCACGTTTAGTTTTGGGTTTTTTTTAAAGCATCCCCACCTTCGTATTTAGAGGCAGCAGTCCTCTCCCCAACCTCACTTTGCCAGGCTATGCAAGGGGAGAAACAGGGAGAGAGCACAGGGTGGGGTCTCGGAGATGTCCTCATTGGGGTGCAGCAGAAAAACATCCAAAACTTAAGGCACGGTGCCCTGCTGAAGCCACATCACTGAAACTGCCATACGGGCTCCTTCGTCACAAGCTAACGGGCTTCAGCTGGTAGCACCTGTGTTTGTTCAGTAGAATAACACTAGTTCATTTTAAGGCTGGCTGTGCAGTTCACATACCAAACTCCTGTGTTCGGGGCAACAAACCTGCCAGATTTTAGGGCATGAGAATCATCAATTCGGTCCACCGGTTTAAGAAGCTTTCCTAGTCACAAAAAAAAAAGACAGCAGCTCCTTAGAAACTTCATCCAAGCTCATTCTCAGTACCCTCAAAACCTTCAAATTTTTAATATCTATAAATTGACTTTTTATTCAGGTGTTGTTACAGCTGCCACAGAACTAGCAGAACATCAAGCGTGGGGTTAAACCATGCCAGTTATCCACTCTCCGGCACACCAGAAGACACGGCTAACGGGGAAACAGGAACGCTGCCTGCAGAGCTGGGTGTAAACCGCAGTCAGGTTGGGCTCAGGACTTACTAGTCTTCACTCAGCACTGGTCCTACTAAATCCCAGCTGGCTGCAAAAAGGGCATCCAACGCCCTGTGCAGGGACAGAGGCTCAGACCAGAGCCGGCTTCACACATCTGCACAGCACCAGCTGCAGAAAGCCTCTGCCTGCAGCAGCTGGTGTTCTCCATCTGCCAACAGCTTGGCTATACCTTCAGGAAGTCACCAGGGATAAATTCTAAAAAGATAGCCTATTAAGGTAATTAACTGAAACCAAATGATTCTTAATTATGGATCTCTCGTTATATACATCCCAGCCACAGGTTAAGAATCCAAGGAAGAAGCGTGCTAGCTCAAAATTAACTACTACTTTACCATACCGTAAAGGATTTTCTATGCAGTAAAACCTGCACAGAGCACTCAAATTACCTGGAGCATGGACAAAACTTCCCCTATAAACCCATTTTGGCAGGAAAGAGGTGTGGCACACAAACGAGAGGAGGAAATTATTTCAATGACATGTAGAACCAGGGGTTTTTTTTTCCTTACATTGACAGGAAGTCAGCCAACGTGAACATGCAGGGCAGCAACAGCTCTTCCGTATCCGGGAACTAGAAAAATCCATGCCTTCAAAGGGAGGAAGGAGGAAGCTCTCTTGGATGAACGCCATCACCATCTGCTACTGAAATTTCTCTTAAAACGCTTATTTTTCCCCAACATCTACAATGCAGTTGAAAACTATCCGAAGATCTCTCCCTTGTAAGCCTCCACAGCATTTTTTCCAAGAGAGCTGCTGCAGAAGACGGCAGATCTAGAGCAGCCTGAGAACTGGTGGCATCCAGGAGCCCTTGGGCAGCCCGAAGGCTGATCTGTCTCAGTCAGAGTTCTGCTGAAATAATCATCACAAGAAGGTGCCAGCTTTAACGGCCAAGGCAGAAAACACAAACGCTGCCCCCTCTTCACCACCTTCCTGCTGCTACTTGGAGCCCTCGGTGCTGGGAAAGAGCCTGGCACGTCTCTCTTTTCCCAACGATGGGGAGGATGAGAAACTTGGAGGCAGAGCACGGGAAGAGCATCGCAGTGCAAATTTCTGGATTCTCCTCCTGCCCAGCACCTTCTGGGAAGCGTTTAGGCTCTCACTGGGTGTTTGGACATGTACAGGAAAGGCAGGAAATCCTCTTCTCAAAGCCAGAATTGCTCTCGGTTCAAAACCTCCTACAGCCTTTTCCTTAAAGAAACTCTTTATATTACTTTGTTAGCACGACGACAGGCGCTAGCCCCACTCTCAAACACCACGTAAGAGAAAAAATAGATCCAACGGTATTCAGTGTGAAACATAGCGGGGGTACAAAGGAGGTGACTTAAGGAACTGGCACGACTGTGGCACCGCTCAGCAGATCAGGCACGTAACGATGAGCCTTATTGTCATTTGCTTCCCTAACGCAACAAACTGCAGCAGCAGTTATAAAGCATCTTTAATGCCAATTTTTTGCTCCAAAAGAAAAAAAATTCTTCATCTTT